CCTGCTGAGATCCACCACAGAGGTCACTTCTACATGTTGCTTGCAATAAAGTAAAACACTGACTTCTGAACCATAGTTATTAAAAATCCCCAAATTAATACCCTGAGGGAAATCAGAGCAAAATTGCCAGGAATACCAGACACATAGATTACTAAATATCTCGAAGACCACAAGGAAAGAAAAGCTCTCTACAATGAATGGAGATGTATCCCCTAAAGCTTCCTCAGCTGGAGTTTTTTCTAGCACCAGAAGTTTGACAACCTTGTTTCATTTAAAATATAGAAAATGCATTTAGGACCATATTGTAGAAAATAGTCCATAGCCTCACTGTTGCAGTTTGAATTGCTGCTAGTAAAGTCCAGGGTAAAGAAGCAAAAAGGTTTTGTATAATATCCACAGATGTTTAATTCCGCTGTGCAGTGAGATGTTCTCCTCTCTGACAGACACTCTCCCCAGGGTCCTGCTCTCTCCCCCGGGGGCCTCCTGGCTGACCTTGGTCTCCAGACAGTATCAAGGTGAGGCCCAATCAGGGAAAAAGGAGGGAGAGCCTCAGGAGCACCTATGTTCAGGCATAGGAAGAGGGGAAGGAGCCAATGGGGTGTAACTTAGGAGAAGCCCCTCCAGGGCCTCCACACCTCACCAATCTTCCCAGGGGCAGGAGCTTTGTACAAGGGGTTGAAAAGAAAAATATGTCTTTGCTCAGTCTGACCTGCAATTTTTTCACATGCAAAGGTAGAGGTCCTGGGGAGAGGAAAGCCAAAAGAAACACAGTGAATGTTTCCAGGGCTGGAGAGATGTGGGTGAAATCCCTGTTTTGTTTTCTCATTTTCCCTTTGCTGTGACTGATACAAAAGCATTACCCTTTCTCAATCTGATGTTCTCAGGATAAATGCACTAATAAATTCAGGTGTGCAGTTGCCTTGTAGGTAGTTCCTTGTTATAGTAGCCTCCTCAAGCCAGGTCTCATAAGCTCTTGGAGGCCTGTAACACACCCAAGATAGCTCAGCTACCCTTGGAGGCATAAAAACCAGCAGGAGGGCTTCTTTTTGCAGTGTTGGAAACAAAAAGGTTTAATAAAAGGCAAAATAGCAAACAGAGAAAAACTGAGACAGGTGCAGGAGATCCTTGCTCCTGGTATAACACCTTACAAAAGTAATTAGTTTCTTTGTTCTCTTCTTCTTCTTCTAGTAAATTGCCCAGGTGGGAATTTTTGGCTCCAGTCCAATTGGCTATCCTTAAGTTTGAGGTGAAGTCCCCTAGGCCTATGAGGTGGCTTTTTCACCTAATTGAGGAGAGAAACTTCTTTCCTTTTTGAGGGGACAAAGGATAGTTTTGTCACTGTCAACAGGGGGCACAGTCCTATAGTTCCTTATCATTATGTGTCTATTTCACCTTTAAATGCTGCATGACTCAAAATCCTCCAAACATCGAAGTTAGGTTTTTGTAAAATACAGCCTGGCTAATGTAGGACTTTGAGGAGCATTGTAATTCTCTGAGGGGCTCAAAAGAGCCCTTATATATAAAAAGACTTGCTTCAGAGCAAGCACAGATATTGCTCCCAAAAAATTAGCCCTTAGATACTTAGGCCAGTGCTTTCAGAGCTAAGAGCTCAGGAATGTAGTATCATCATCCATGCCATGTATGGGGATTTGTGTTAGCTTTGCCAGTAGCTACAGACATCAGAAACAGCAATAAGCCAGAATTAATTTTGCCTGTGTAACCATCCACATCCTAACCTCCTTGCATCTCTGCTGGCTCCCTAATGCTTTGCTGCACCTGGGCCTTGCAGAAAACCATTTTCAGCTGGAGAGAACAAGGTCACAGGGTTACCTATGGGTGGATCCTCACAGATCAATTGGTGTTTCTTAATGAAGTTAATCTGAATAACCTGAGTGTTCATCATATTTTCCTAAGTATAGGATCAGAGGATCATGTATCTAATGCTCTTTCAGCTCTCATTCTCCCTCTCCACTATGCTCTCGTGAGACTCCACCTAGACTGGAGTGCTGCATCAAGGTCTGGGGCTCCCAACACAAGAAAAATGGATCTGTCCATCTTGGAATGAGTCCATAGGAGGCCACTAAGTTGATCACAGGGCTCAAAACCCTTTTCCATGAAGATAGGCTTAGAGAGCTGAGGCTGTTCAGCCTGGAAGAGAGGAAGCTCTGGGATGACATTATAGCACCTTCCAGTACCTAGAGAGGCTCTAAGTAATCTGGTCTAGTGGAAGGTGTCCTGGCCCATGGCAGTGGGGTTTGGAGCTAAATGGTCTTTAAGATCTCTTCCAACACAAACCATCCTATGATTCTACTATTCTTATCACTGCCCAGCTGGGCACAGTACCTTAGAACTGGTAAAAGAGGCTTAAAGCAATGATACATATGTGTTTCTTTTCACATATCCCAAATTGAAAAAATAATTTCAATCCCCTTTGAAAAATTAATTTTTGTGAAGGTCAGAGATGGGGCTGGTATCTTTGTAAACAGAAATAAATTTGGTGCTATATTGACCCCATCGTGCTGAGTGTATCTGAAGTGGAAGGAGCTGCTGCCAGTATAGAAGTTGCTTCAAGAGCTTGGAAATGATGCTGGCAGGTTATAAATCTGGAAAGACTTTCTGTGTCTAACCTTAGAAAAATCATAAAGGTTTAGTTCCTCCTTTTTAAAAATTAACAACCTGTCCTCCTTGAGCCTGAAATGTGTTTCTGTTGGAAACAGGCTGGGTGTGATGAACGCTGCATGAACACTGCGTGAATTTTGGGTCCCCCCAAACTGCAGGTCAGTCCTGCTTTTGCAGGATTACAAGCATGGAAACTGCAGGAAGGCATGGCTCTTCTATGGCAAGGAGCTACTCAGGGGAGCTGAGATCACTGGAATAGGTTTCATTTTGGAAGCCTTTTGATTCAGACTGAAAGGCAAACCAACAAAAAGGCTCTTCCTTCTCAGGCAGGGAGAAAGGTTGGTAGTAATTATCTTTTAGGGAGGTTCAGTTGTAATAGACCCTTAGGAAGCCTGTGAAACTTAGTAATTGGATTCTACCCATCTTAAAAGAGTTGAAGAAATGGCTGATTTGCAGGAAAGAAAGTCTGATGAGTGAAAAAATGCTAACAGCTGGGATTAGAACAGAGAAGCCATGGAACAGGATTGGTTATCAAATCCCCTTTGCTGTAAGTTTCTAAAAATAGAGGAAGTGTTTGGTGTGTGAAAGGGGAACTGATAGAACTTTGGTGTGGAAACAATTATCAAGGAGCCTCCCAGCCACACATCTGAATGGCTCTACTGCTCAGGAGTGGTGCTGGCAGCACTGCAGTGGAGAGGCAAGGAATTCAGAGAGACAAGGTGAGACAGAGCCAGATGACCATGGCAGGGCCATGCCCTGTGCAGTCCCTCACCTCTGTGACTGGACTGAGGAATCCCAGCTATGGGACACCAGCCCCAGCAGCCTTGCCTGTCCCTAATCCTGCTTCGCACCTCCTGAAGCACAAGTGTTCATGGCTCCTATTAATTTCTATTTTTGCATCTTAGAGGTTATTACAAATGTTGATCGAAGTTTCCTTCTTTGAGTTAAAGACCTGAAAAATCATAAAACATGCCAAGTTTGGAATTAGTGTGGGAGTAACTCAAAGACTAAAAAAAGTTTGGTGAGTTGAACTTCATGTATAATAGTACACTGTTATTTTGTGATCTACATTTAGATTTTTTTCCACTTAAATCACTGTGCCTCCCATTTCACAAATTCCAATAAACATTTTGAAACACTCTATAAATACAATTCATTCTTGTCTTGTAAAAGTCTCTGAACTACACCCATCACCAGGAAAGTGGTTTCTGTAGAAACTAATATAAAAACTAGGGGGGAAAAAAAAAGCTAAGACTGAAGCTATCTGATGTACACGTTATACATCCCACTCTGAGGTACTATGAAGTTTTTATTGCCACTTGTTTTGTAATACTGTCCTCCCAGACAATGTGGCCCCATATGTTGTACATGACATCCCTCAGCTCTTTCTTGCAGAGGTGGCAGCAGGGCTGTGTGTCGGTGCCTGCCTCTGCAGGGGAGGTTGGTGGTCCCTGGAACCCAGTCCAGAGAGCAGCAGGGGCCAGTCATGCAGCAAAGCCATGCAGATGTCAGTTGTGGGAAAGCATAAAGGAATCTTTGCCAAAGGTGTCTGAGCTATTAAGTTCAGGCAAGAAAATTCCTATTTGGCACCCTAGTTTTTTAAACAAATGTAGAGAACTGATGGGTCCTGCTGAAATACAGCTTATGGTAGGGGTCAGCAAAGGGGATGATGTATGGAATGGATGCTGAAGGATTCTTTACAGTCTGCAATGAAAGAAATGAAAAGTGGCTGGAAAAAGCAGCAAGGCACCTTGAATATATACATACAGGAAAGTGGGTCCACCCCTGCAGGTAAGGACTTAGGGCAGTTGGTGTATTGGACATAATGTGCATATGCAGCTCAGAAGCCCAAATATATCCTGGGCTGCATCAAAAGAAATGTGGCCACAGGTGGAGGAGGAGGATTCTCCCCATCTACTCCACTCTCATGAGATCCCATATGAAGTCCTGGATTCAGCTTTATACAATGTGTGTCCAAGGCTCTGCAGTGCAGGTACTTAGGTCTGAAGAGGGACTGCCTGAAGAAGCTGGAAGAGTGCAGAAGGTTGCACACGATAGTTGTGGTCCTTGAGATCATCCACCCCTTCCACAGTCCCACAGGCTTGAACAAGCTTGAAATGCTACCAAAGCAGAATGGCAGTGAGGCAGTCTATAAGAGGAGCTAATAGCTTTTATTAGATCCATGAAACAGTGGTGGGAAATAAGGCTGTTAAATAAAAAGGAACAAAGACAAGCCTTCAGGAATGAAAGCCCCCTCTGGGGCCTGCAAGAGGAGCTAAAGTGAGACCTGTTGTGGTAGCACTTTGACATCTGTGTTGCCACAGGGGTGGAGAATTGGACCCATTGCCAAAGGAGAGTCGAGCAGGGACATTTGAACAAAGTCACCGTAACGGGTACAGGTTAAAAACCATGTCATTGTTGCAGTAGTTGAGACAGACTTGGTGCCCTCCCCCGCCCCTGTGTCCTTCCCTGCCCTGTGGAGGCAGCGGGAGCTGTGGCTGAGGCCGTGCCCCCCTCGCCATGGGGCAGGGCCCTGCCTGAGGCGCGGCGGAAGGCAGCACACAGGGGCCGTAGGCCAGCGGGGATTCCGTCCCACAGGATCCATCTCCCAAAGGGCCCACATCACACCTGAAGGGATCATGGCCACCCTCAGCCATGGGCAAGACGAGCTGGGTGCTGAGGTGGGTGCACTGCTGGGGAGAAGGGGCTGTGCTGGGCACGGCAGGGACACTGCTCAGCCTCTCGGCTCTGGGGGTGACCCTGAGGGACAGGCCTCGGCTCCAGGCAGGTGCCTCTCTGGAGGCCCCGTCCTCCCCAGCTCTCCTCGGGAATGGAAGTTGCCCAGAGCAGCCGCTCAGCGTTGGCTCCTGGGAGCTTTTGCTCAAGTGTCCCCTGAAATTAGCAGGTGGCATGTGAGCATCCGGGCTGGAAAGAAGCAAAGGCAAAGGCTCCTGTGTCGGCACTGCACCTGTCAGAGACTTGGGAAAGCAAGGCATGGGTTAGTAAAACATGGTGGGGTGTAGCACCTCTCCTCTGTGAGCTGCTTACAAAGGCACTCAACCAACACGATGGTTTGGTTTGATGGCCTTAGATGTCTCTTTGACCATCCTGTGGTTCTGTGAACACAGGTAACAAAGCAGACGGCATAGCAGAGCCTCCCCCACCACAGTGGGGGTGCCCATGGGCTGTGGGGGCAAACTGAACAGCTCCCAGCTCTTGGCTCTGCTTTTGTTTCACCAGTTTTTGCCCAAAGCCTGTTTTACACTGAAAGCGTTGTTTAGACCTTTGGGTCCACTGCCAGCATATACTGAAGAAGGACCTACAAATGAAATTATGCTAATACCTTTGACACCACAGATTTCTTTTTCTGTGCAGACTGGAAAAGCTAAGTGTGATTTTTTTATCCTGATTGTTCTGAAGTGATCTTTTCACTACAAAAATATTCTTCAGCTTTACTAGAGTCTATTTCTAATTAATAAATGTTCCTATCTTTACATTTTTGTACCCCAGAAACAATTTCATTCAGGTAGGGATCAGCACACAAGAATTTTTCTTCTGGGTCTTCTGTTCTGGATATTTCACAACTTCTTTAATTGCTCCAATTATTGGATTATAATTATGCAAACTTTAATTCCTTTCAGACCATTCATTTCTAATGAGTGCTTGCAGGTCTTTCTTCTTTATAATTCTGCTTTTTCATCCATTTAATTACAGTGGTTTTACAGACTGCTGGAGCAGCAAAGTGCCTTTCAGTTGTTCTCTACTTACCATGAGAAAAAATTCCAACAATCTGGTGTAGGACCCAGCCCACCTTCAGCTATAGACCTGCCATAGATGCCATAGAGAGACCATCCTATAAATCGCTCTATTTTAGGCTCATACCTTTTTCTGAAGTTCTCCTCCCTGATTTCTTGTGAGCACATTAAAACTGACTCTTTTCAGAATACGTTTTCCAGATTGAACACATTAAAACTGAATCTTTTTGGATTATATTTTTGCAGATTGAGCAACATAGGTTCTATGTGACAGATCAGACTCCTGGGTTAGTTGTACCACAGCTAGTTTGGCAAAACATGAATATGATGGGTTACTCCCATGGAAAACCTGCTGGAGAGCCATGAACTGGAAAACCAACAAGGATAAATGGTTTAGGTCTGACTGTAGAGTCAGAACAGCTGAAAAGCAGGCTCTACTATTATACTTTTGTGACATCTTTAGTCTGTTTCTAATCACACACAATTGAAAGTGAAAGCCTCAGGAAGATATTTGAGGAAGGGAAAGATGAAGGCATGTCTACAGGAAACTTGACATAAGCAAGCAGGCTCACAAGTAGGCTCAACTATAAAAGAAAGCCATGTGGCTCAGTCATATTTCCTAGGTGGAAACTATTTCAGTGTTCATGCAGACAGAACTAAACCAGTGATAGGAAAAGCATTGGTTTTGTATTTGTTAGGCAATTAGACAGATCAGCTAGTTTTCCTAATGCTTTTGTTCCCAGGCACTTGTGTCAAAAGATTCTGGTTTTTAGTGTCCTCCTGAGTATTTCCAGTAGAAATAACTGCAGCTTCTACATTCACATTCTATTCAAATGGGTTTAACTTCCTGTGTGCACATTTTATCTGCTTCTTGGGTTCCCAGATCCCCTTCCTTCTCCATGTCATCCATTTAAGAAATCTGTCCCCACCCAGAGCAATTATCCTTTCTGTCTGTGGCTGAAAGGGCATGGATTACTATCTCCAATATCAGGTTGGGGGAATGCACCACGCCTAACATATCAAAAGACAAACTGCATATGAATAGTGGTGATGACAACTGAGTTTAACATAGCCTTTGCAGGAAAGTCACTGGGATTCCCTCCATCAGTCATGAGGCAGTCCCAAGGATCTCTGGAGATACTTTCACAAGGGTTTCCACACCCATCAGAGCAGATGTTTTAACATCAATGCTTCACAAAGTCCTTCAAAGCACTCTTCTGCCTTCAAACCAGACGAACCAGGTACAGGTTATGCACCTTCCCCCTTTCTTGCAGAAACTCAAGGGGAACAAGCAGAGGTGGAGCATGCCTTCACCCTTCTCGGTAGTGCCAAGAAATAGGACAAGAGGCACTGGGCAGAAATGTATGCACAGGAAGCTCCATGTGAATGGTGATGAAACTTAGCCTGCCCTGCAGCCCTGCTTTGTTTACCAGTGTAGATGCAATCTCCTGCTGCCACCAGGTGCAAATTTCCTCTGGAGAGGAGGTGCTGGCAGTGCATGGCAGCACTAAGGAGAGCAGGATGCTCAGGACAGCCCTGGTCCTTCTTGGCCTGATCATGGGCATGCAGAATGTGGAGATGTAAAGCCTGCTCCCACCCAGACCCAAAGCCCAGATAGCCTCCACCATGCCTTGAACCACAGACTGCCTGACCAAAATTTCATTGACCAACAGCAAGAGTTACCTCAATCTCCTGGATTCTTTTTAGTCTTAGAGAAGATGAAGAAAAAGCTGTCTTTGCTTTTTGGATTGATCTTCTTGCTTCTGCTTCTAGTTTTGTTTCTGGACGTGGGTGGTCATGAGCTCCTTTGCACTTTAGAAAGTAATTATGGTACATTAAAGGTAGAAGCAATCTTGTTAATAATCTTAAGGGAACAGAATTTATACCACAGGCCAAAATCACATATCATGGCCTAATTTAATGCTCTGTATTTAATAGGATTTAGTTCCTGTGAGCTCAAATAATAAGCATATCCCAGATGAAGTGGGATGGGTAGGGTAGAAACCCTTTGAAATAATAAAATCAGTGCACCACATTTATTTGTAGAAGACAGTTCCCCCAACAGAGCCCCAGCTGAACCCCCTGAAGTCACTTTAATTCTTCTTATAGTTTAGACATATTTATCTGAATATTAATTTTCATTACCTTCCACAGAGAATTAATTTTGTTTAGCCTGCACATAAGTGAAAGAGTGGAAAGCAGGCAAGTGGTAATGTTACTAAACCAGGACTACAGCTTCCAGAAATAGTGCCCATTATTTAAACACTTGCATACACTGTGTTCCAGATATAAGTTACATATAATACATAGATGGCATTTTCCATAGACAGTCCCTTGGGTACAACCATCTCCTCTTCCAAGATTCCCTCAGGATTATGTGTAGTGTCTTGGATAAGGAGAAGACATAATATGGTATTTTTGAGGATTTGTTGGTTCCTATGTACCTGAGGCAAAACACTTCAAAATCAACAAGTTTTCACAGAAGCCTAAATAAAAAATACACTGTGCTGTAAAATCATAGTAGCATAGGCTAATTTAGGCTGGAAGGGCCCTTTAGCTCATCCTCCTACTCAGGCAGGACTAACTTCAGAGTTAGATCAGGTTGCTTAGGACCTTGTGAAATTTTTTTCTCCTTACAGTTGTTTGACCTTGTCATATTCAATAACCCCTATCTGTTGGAACAAAAAAAAATTGCAAAATAAAACTTAAAATACCAGTCTTTAAAATTAACTTGCATAATGTTAAGTAATTTTATACCGACCTGGAAAAATATGAATTGGCCTTCATGCCTCCAGAAGTTGGTAACTGGGTAACCACCGTGGCCTCGGCAGGAAAGGAGCCGCAGTGGTCCATTGCAGTTTGGACAGCATTTCCCTGGAGCAAGGGGAGGGGGAAGCATTTTCTATACAACACCAGTTAGATGAATCCCATGTGATACCATGGTTCATTGCTGGCAGATTGCCACTTCTGGTTTGGTGCTCAGAAATTACACTATGAGAGAAACTATGTGAAAAACTCCCAAACATAAGCAAAAATCAATATAAACAAACTAATCATGGAAGGGATTTTGTTCTGTCCATTATTAAATATAACCATCGAAAATTATTTCTATTACAATGTTATTACAATCTTATAATTTATTATCATGGTCAGTTTTTTTAGTTTTTCTCTTGTCAGAGTTTGGAATGTCATATGTGTTTCTAGAGAACACTGTTCTGGCCCCAGTGAGCACCTGAGTAATACCTTTCTTTAGCTAAAATGTACATCAGATCCAGAAATCAGTATGTGCTAGCTCTACTGAGCAATCACAATTGTTTGGAATGGTCTTGTTTAAAATGTGTGTGCAGCTCATGTTCTCTGTTTGCATTGTCTGGCTCCAGTGACGTGACTGTGGGGCCTATTTTCCAGTCATCACAGTTTATGAGCAACTTCTTTCCTGCAAGAGTTGCCTCCTGGGCCAGTGCAGTAATGAAGCCAACACTCTGGTGGGCAGGAGCAGCAGGGCAGTGCAGGAACTGCCTGCACTGTGCAGCTTTCTCAGTACCATCACTAATGGGCCTGAGAAGGCTGGGAAGCAATCCCTAACCAGCAAAAATAGAGATTTAAAAATGTTTAGGGAAAAAAAGAAAATGAACAAGCAGATGACTACGCTCCAACAATAAGAAGTGTAAAATGCATTGTTCCAAATCAAGAGTTGCATTGGAATATAAGGAATGGCAGAAGGAAGGCTGGGTAATCCAAAGGGTATCCTATACTTTGATTTCTATGATGTGTTCTGTGGGAATCCAGAACATGCCCCGACATGTTCAGTTATGAGCTGCCATACAATGAACTGCCATGTTTGTACTCACGCTGTTGTTTTTGCCTGGCTTTATCACATATGGCTGGTCTTAGGTAGATCTTCCTCCCCTCCAAGGTAGAGCAGTTGTTGCCACAAACCACCACCCCAAGGCAGGACTTTTTTAAGATGCGAGAGTTGTGGTTGTTGGTGTTTCTCATTGCCCAGCTGCTGTGGTGCCTCTGAGCATTTTTATCCTCTGAGCTATAGATATGCTTTACATAGGAATCTGGCCATTCTTGAAACCAGTCTGTCTGGCTCACATGCTGTGGAAAAAGAAAAGCAAGCCACATTTTAGGCTGGGGAAGAGAAAAGCTTGTCCAGGAGCAGAGCAGAGTTGGACCTCTGCTGGGTTTCCTGTAGCCTAGGTGACTCCAGTACCCCAGCAGGTGACGCTGGTGGTAAGGAGGGAGTGGTGGTGATAAGGCAGGAAAAACGCAGATCTTTGTGGCTCCCTGCAGACCCCAGAGCATTGGGAAGGCCTGGCCAGGAGCTTGTTCTCATTCACCCAACCAACCAACCAAAAAGAATAAAAAACACAAAAAAACCACCCCAGAACAAACACCATGCCTCAAGAACAGAGTAAGGAGCAATAAAAATAAAACTGGGGAAAAAACTCCAAAGACCCAAATCAAATGCAATGTGATGTGATCAAACGTCGTCACAAATGTGATGTGATGTACACATCACATCAGTGTACATCAGTGAGTACAGTCAATATAGTAAAATGCAGTAAGCTGTAAAGCATCTACCATACCTGATGATGATTTTGAGGGAACAGTTCTTGTAAGGGATACAAAAGCTTAGTAGAAATTTCCTTTAAATTGCCAATCCCAGAACTGAGAGCCATGGCAGCAGTAAGAACATCAACCAAGAAGAGAAAAATTTCCATACTCCCTGGTAGCCACTGGATAGTGTAGGGAAGGGTGTCCATGATGCCTCTAGACTGAAGCGCAGGTGAAGGTGACCTTGGGCTGAAGGGCAGGGAAGAGGATATTCTGGAACATGGAGGCTTTGAGCAAACAGGACTGTTATAGCAGGGAGGAGGCTGGGATCCAGTAAGAAGGCAGGGCTGGGAGCTGAAAGGCAGAGCTGGATGTTGAAGGATTGCAGCAGGAGGAATCTGGCAGAAATATGCAGAGCTGAGGGACAGGGAGGTGACATTAGTGTGCAGGGTGTGTGGGCTTTCACTGAAGAGCATGGTTGAAACTTTTAGCTAAGAGAACTAGAAAAGGATAGAGGGGAGGGGAAGATCACTCTTGTGCCTCTCAGCAAACCTCTGCAAACATGAGGGAAGGGTTCTCTAAGTGCTCATGAAAAGCCTTGCCTCCATATGGGAGGCAAGAGACTTGGCTCCCTGTGAGCTGCAACGAGACTGAACACCCACGGTAGCAAGGCAGTGGTGCATGCTGTGCTCCCTTCTCAAAAGGCACTACCCAGGGCAAAAAGCAAGTCCTGGACAGCTCTAATTAAGTGCCCACAGGAGGAGGCACCTTTTTCCCCTCTGCTTTCTCTTCACCTAACCCACTAGTGAAAACAATGCCTTTGCAGTGTTGCTGTATTTCATCCATCAACAGTTCTTTCAATGACACATTTAAGGAGAAATGCATGGAAATGTCAATATTTTCTCAATATTTTCTAGCAAAATTCCCCCATAGCTCAAGGTGACAAAGAGAATAAAGGCAATGAGTCATAGATGACTGAGAAAGCATTTAAGATCAGTGGTGGAGATGACTGGTCAGAACTAAATAAATTTCTACGACACAGGCACATACCTGAGGAAGTTTGATGTCATTGATATCCCAACTCGTCATTTCTCCATGTCGGGAAGCAGAGTCCTCCTGCTCCATAACAGAATCATCTGCACCTTTCAGCATTTTTAAATTCCTTCCCAAAGTTAGCAAGAAAGTTGCTCCTGGCTGCTTTTGAAGTTGCCTGGCTGTCAGCAGTCTCAAGCAGTTTACAACCAGGAAGCTGTTTCCTGAAGCTAAATGATAGAGAGGCTGCTCATTAAAGATAAAAATCAGTGTTCTTCTGCCAGAAAAACTTGTTCCATTAAAAGTTTTGCAAGCCAGCAAGGCAGTGGAAAATATAGCTTAGAGATAGCCTGTGATGTTACAGAGACATCATTAGCAGCAAGCAAATCGTGCTTGTGGCATCTGATTTGCTTGCTCAATCTCCTCTCATGCCAGGTTTATAGCCATGTAACTCTGCTCACAGGCTCTTCATACATCTGATCCAACCCTGGCTCTGTTCTCCCAGAGCCAAACTGACTGAACAGCTCAGCAGCTGTGGAGGGGTCTTTGAGTCGCTCCTTACCTGTTACATATTTCTCACTCTGCGTGTGACAAAGGTGGCAAAAGAGAGGTCTGCTCCACCCCTTCAGAAGAAATGATGCTCCACCATTTCAAATATTGCTGGTATCTCTGAGGGCTTACCAGTTGCACCAGGGAAGTATAGAAAAGGAGACTGGGTTATCTGCATTTTTCTATTTCAATGGCACACTGAAAAAAAATACCACCAACGCATGTTTGTTAAAACCAACAAGTTTTCCCTGAAATTTTTTAAAGGATGTGGCTGCCCTACTCTGAATTTCAGTACTAGCCAAGCTTAATAAAATATTTTGCTGGTTTTATCTGGGGTAGAGTTCATTTTCTTCACAGTGATTTGCTCTGAACACAGAGTTGATAATGTAGAGATGTGTTTGAGTTTGATCCTCAAGGATCCCATGCATGAAAAACTTTGTTTCCTTTGCTAAGGAGAGAAAAGGTGAAACAGTTTTCTCTTTCTGGAAACTGGGAAGTTTCTGTGTTTTCAGGAAGGTCACTATAGTTATGCCAATTAAGGATTTATTAAAGACTACTGAATAGTGAGAGAAGTAAAATCTACCTGATAGTCTAGTACACAGACTTTCAAAAGGATAATGTATTTCATTATTACTTCTAGCTCTGCATATATGTATGGCTCTCAGAAAGTGAACTGGCCTCTATGCCCTTAGTTTACTTATTTATAAAATACCTGTGATCTTACTTTCTCATGTTATATTATCACCTCTAAAGGAAGACTGTGGGTTTTTGCACAGCACTTGAGATGTTTGGCTGCGTGGTTCTCTGGCAGCATAGTCAGAGCACCATTGCCCCCTGTTGTGGCTCAGATTGTGGGGGAAAAAGAAGCAAAACCTCCACGGGAACAGACTCCCACAGAGGGGGCCTGGGAGTCAGCCCCAGACTCAGGGATCTGAACTGAGGGCACTGTACTGGGAGGGCAACCAACAGCTTCAAATGAGATGTTAGTACAGAGGAAAATGGAACACAATAAATCAGAAATAAAAACCTCCATAAGAAACATTAGGTCTCCATGTATTTTCCTACTGCGCTACAATGAAATGGAGATAGTAAGGTCAGGACAAACAAAATACGAGGTGCATTGGAAAACTGAGTTGAACTTGCTAAACGAATCACCCTTGACTACTGTGTGCTCTAAAACACAAATTGATTTGTTACACAATTCAAAATTATAGTCTCATTGTTTTTAATGAGAAATGAGAATGAAAATTACTTTTCTAAATGAGATGGCTTGGAAATTGATTTTTAATTTGCTTCATTAGAGAAATTAGAATATTTCTTCTTTATACTACATTAATAGGGCTAAAAAAATAATGAAATATTACCTTAAAGATTAACAAAAGACACAGATAATTCCATCATAATGCACACAAAAAATGAAGTTCAAGAGAATCGTACATATTTAACTACTTGCAGGCAAAGCCTTCCACTACTTATTTCTCTACACTCTTGTGCTACAGCATTGCTACTAGTGTTGCTGTGATATGTCATGGAAATTGAACACTAGGGAAGACAAAGTCAAAAACATGGGAAAGAAATAATATCTGAAGCTCTGCTATTTAATTCTTGTTTCTATATAATATCTGAGATGGGTTACAATACATTTAGAAAGAGATTTAAGCCATACATTTTATAACTTAACTAGCAAGGATTTGGAAAATTTCCTCTATTTTCCTTACAAGTACTTGGTGTTAACCACTTAGGAAAAGGATTATGAATTTTTAAAATAAATTATGTATATGACCAATTTACCTGAGTCTATAGGTTAAATTAATTCAATATAATCTACAAAATCTTATTTGGAAGGACAGTCTGGCCGACCATAAGCACAGATAGATTTCAGCAGTTCTTCGGCAACCATCTACAGCAAGAGACTGAGGACTGAAAAAGTGCTGGAGCTGTAAAAGGCTTCTTGCACTCAGGCTCCTGCTCTGGAGAGAGCTGTGCAAACCCCGCAGAGCAGCCCCCGAGGAAAGCAGCTGTCCCTGCAGGGGCTGCCCACAGCTGTCCAGCTGCCAGCTCTGCAGTCCTGCTGGCATGTCACCTGTCACAGGGCACTCCCCATCGTTCCACCAGCACACAAAGAGGGTTCTTTAGTCAGCGCTTCCATCAGTTCCTTTTGCTCTTTGGTGTCATCTTTCGGTGATGACAACCTTTAAGTGACGTCAGGCGCAGTCAGTGGAGCTTTACCTGGGCTGAGTGACCTGTCCCACCAACAGCCTATGTTGCACTATCTTCCATGGCTGCCTTTGTGCCTTGCCTCCAGTTCATGATTTCTCTGACACTGAAAGTTTCACCCTGCTGTGGGAGCTCTCCTGCTTCACTGCTGCTGTTTGCCTTTGCAAGTTCCCAATCCCACTTCTATTACTGCAGAGTTTCATGGTGCTGCTCCACAGGAACCAAGGAATGTGCATATTTATACCAAGATACTACTGATACTCCTTGAGGAATATTGCTCTAGACTGGACTGACTTTTTTTTCTTTTTTACAAATACATTCTGTAAACTTAAAAATAACAACCAGTTTTATCTTTCAGTTCAACCTTTCTGTTTGATAACTGTGGCAGCAGGATGAAGCAAGATGATTATCCCCAGATGTGGAGTACAAACTCACTGCAAATCAACATGCCATTTATAATGGGAAAGTTTCTGCCTGTGGAAAAATGCACTCACTGGGAATGCTGTGTATTTTCAATAAGCAGGGAGACAAACTTTGTTTTCAGGTTGTCCTGACATATCCTCAAGTTGGCTGCCTCTATATTCAACATCATTTGAAATGCTTATGCTATCTTCACCATTCAGTATCCAAAAGTGGAAGCTTCTCCCCTGTGATCTGGGTCTTAGAAGGAAGATGGACGTGTTTTGAGACAGAAATACTTTTAAATCCTTGGTTGATTTTGTTTATACTTTGTTTCTCTTTAATTCTTTTCTCAAAACTGTTATTTTAATGGCCCCTGAGATCTGTAACAGCTGATGAGTTCATACTTTTGTTCAGTTACCATACTTCTGAATTCTGGACTGCTCTGGATAAAAAGTCAGTTGTAGGTGGTGTAGTTCTCCTGGCTTTGCTGCTTCAGCCACATTCAGTGAACAATTTTTAAAAAATGCTTTGTAAAACAAGTTTTGGTTTCCTACCTTTTCCAAACAACCTCTTTCTAGAGCACTGTCTCAGGTGACACAGTCTGCAGGCTTCTCTGGTTGTCACATCACGTAACACTGACATATCTACACCACAGATTGTAAACCAGACAGATTAGCACAGAGTTCATCTCAAAGCTCAAACATTGATTCATGTCTTGGCCTCCTTTTTCTTTCATCACTCCTGCCCTCATGGGTTCAGGCCACTGCTCAGACACTCAGGGTGTCTCTGCCAGAGCGCTTGGGAGGTGCTGTGTGTTCCTGCCTGTGCTGTACAGACCAAGCATGGACACATGGACCATCTACTGAGGGGATATTCAAATCCTGCTCTTGGGATGGTAATTTCTTGAACAGCTCTTACTCAACTGCCTGCAACCATCTTAGTTTTTCCTCTGTGTCAATTGAACAGTCATTTGGCCGCAATAGTCTCATTTTTCATTTTCTATTTTACTTTTTTGGCTATTTCCAGAAAAGAGAGGCAGCTGGGGACATGATTTTTCAGAGGCTCTGCCATATGAGGTTCATGTCCACACACTTGTACTGCATAGGGTAAATATTGTTGCCAGGCCTCTCAGTCCCTCTTCGTGAGGAAACTGATATCCATCCACATCTGAGTTAGCTTCCAAGCTGTGTTCTCAGCTGAGAGCCTGATAGTTTAATGACTTACTATGGAACAGAATAGCATCAATACTCTGTTAATATTTTTTTCTTTTTCTCCAGGACAGTGTTTTACTATCAAATTCTAGAAATGTGTCTTTTTCTGCCATGTGAAGAACATAGCTCCAAGTGAAAGGTTTGAGGCCTGAGCTCATTTTAATCATCGTTTGTAATGCTTGAGTATATAAAAATACATATTTCACTTTATTTCTTGCTATCTCGTTATTAAAGCTGTGCTCTATAATTCTTTGGCAGTGAAGTCTAGATTTTTATTTACTTTATTCACCTCTTTATTTTTTCTGTATTAACATATCAGACACTCTGCAAAATGTGTGATGCTCTAGACATCATATTAACTTACTGGGGTAAAATTAATGATAGCTATTTCACAGACGCAAAATCACCAGGGCAATATATCAGAATTAATGTTTTGATGCTGCAAAAAATGTACGTCTGGGTAAAATTTTGGGTTAACTTGTTCATCTTTCTGACCATATAAACTATCTGTCCTCTTTTGTGGAGTTTGTTTTTGTGAGGTTTTTTCACTAAGATCGTAAATTCACATGCTTTAGCTGGAATATTTGGTTTCTATGGATCTAAAATTTTAGTTGGAATGCTTTTTGTAGGTCATGTTTAAAAATTACAATCTCTTAGTGACAGTATTATGATGCAATTTAAAAATTACCTTAGTTTATGGACATTCTGCTTTCTTATTTTGCTAGTTTCAAAGAATAAGGC